CCCCCCCCCCCCCCCCCCCAGCCACACGCACATCGACCAACCACCTGTGTGTGTGTGCGTGTGTGTGTGTGTGTGTGCAGGTGTTCAAGAAGTGGGGCCGCACGGGCGACGAGGGAGGCGGCGGTTTCCAGCACCGAGCCAAGTACTGGATGAGCGACAGACCTGGCAATGCGGGGGAGATGTAAGTCACTGCTTAGGCACTGACTTGACCCTCCCACAAACGCCGAAACACATACATAGTACATGTGTGTGTGTGTGTGTGTGTCTGTCCACACATGGTGTGCAGGATAGAGACCTACGGCGGCAATCTGGCGATGGCCAAGAAGGACTACGAGGAGAAGTTCAAGGAGCGCACGGGCATCGACTGGGTCGACAGATTCGACGCGCAGCAAAAACCTGACAAGTAAAGAAATCCACTACCCCCGTCCTCCTACCCATTATGTGTTGTGTGTCTGGTGTGTGTGTGGTGTGTGGTGTGGTGGTGCTAGGTACCGTGTGTTGGAGTTGGAGGGTCATGAGTACGAGGATGAGGACGAGCACATGCCCACACCGCTCAGGAAGAAGCTCAAGGCCCAAGAGGCAGACGACGAGGACATGGAGGGGCAGGGGGAGGCAGCAGCACCTGCTGCCGCTGCTGCAGCTGCCGCCGCGTCATCTCTGGCTCTGTAAGATCGAGAGACCGACAGACGGACACTCAGCCGCACCATCCATCTGTGCCATCTGTGTCTTCGTTGTGTGGGTGTGTGTGGTGTGTGGTGTGTGTGTGCAGGGCGGACCCTGCTGGTGCTGAGGGCGAGAAGGGTGCAGGTGAGGATGAGGAGGTGGTGGTTGAGCTGCACCCCCGGCTGCGCGACTTCATCGAAATGATCTGCGACCGTAAAAGGCAGGGGCAGGGAGGGGCTATGCAGCATCTACCGTCTGTGTGTGTGTGAATGTGTCTGTGTGTCTGTGTCTGTGTGGGGGGGCGGGGGGTGGCTTGTGTGCAGGTGACATGATGCGCCACGTGCTGGAGGAGAGCCGCATTGACGTCAACAAAATGCCCCTCGGTGCGCAGACACCACACACACACATATACCGGTACCGGTATTGTGTATGTGTGTGTGTGTGTGCTGTGTGTAGGTGGCTTGTCGAAGCGCACGCTCAACTCGGGTTACAAGATTTTGAACCAGATCGACGGCCTGCTCAAGGAGGCCAAGGACACCGGGCAGGACATCACCAACTTGCGATTCCAGTCAGTAGTAACTCACACTCACCCCACACAGACAGACAGACAGACAGACTGTCGTCGCACACACACGCATCGTCCGCCTGGTTCATTCGGTCATCTCAGGGCCAGGCTGAAGGACATGAGCAACCAATTCTACACCGTATGTATCCACCTTTCCAGACAGACACACACACATATATGGAGCAGAAGGGCAGTCTCTCTCTCTCTCTTTCTCTCCCTCTCTCTCTCTGTGTGTGTGTGTGTGTAGGTGATACCACATCAGTTCAAGGTCAAGGAGACGCCCCCGGTCATCGACACGGCCAATGCACTCAAGGACAAGATCGAACTCATGGAGTCGCTCTACGAGGTGGATGCGCGCCGCGCAGGGCAACACACACACGTGGATGCGATGCCTCTGTGTGTGTGCGTCTGTGTGTGTGATCAGTATGGCGTAGCGAACGAGCTGTTGGACAAAGCGGAGAAGGAGAAGAAGGTCTCTAAACAGAACAACCCCTGGCTGCAGTGCCATACAGCCATCCGTCCATCCATCCATGTGTGTGTCTGGTCTGGTGGCTCAGAGGAAGGAGGTGGACCCCGTGGTGCTTCAGTACGAGAAGCTCAACATAGACCTCACACCTTTGGAGAAGGACGACGAGCAATACAAGGCAAGCAAGGCACGCAGTACTGGCAGCCGCACATCAAACCACCCACCCATCAGACGATGGACGGATGTGTGTGTGTTGGTGTCTGTCTGTCTGTCCCTCCCTCCCTCCCTCCATCTGCAGATGGTCGAGAAGTACGTCAACGACACCCACGGCGGGACCCACTACAGCAAAGTCACCGTTGTCGACGTGTTCGCGTAAGCTTGCAAACCGCACCAATGGCCACCCACACAGCATGACGTCACATGAGTCAGTGTGTCTGGTGTGTGTGTGTGTGTGGCACAGGGCTGAGCGTGAGATTGAGACCCGCAAGTACCGGAAGAGCCTCCACTGCAAGAAGCTCCTCTGGCACGGGTCACGACTGGTCAGCCAGCCCAGCCAGCCAGCCGCTGACAGACACCCACCAAGCGACAGACACAGCTCTGTCTGCAGTCAGTCGTGACTGTCATTGCAGACCAACTGGGTGGGCATCTTGAGCCAGGGCCTGAGGATCGCACCGCCAGAGGCACCCCACGCGTAAATTACTTGAGAGAGACGTAGATAGAACCAACACCCACCCGTCGCTGCGCTGCAGCTGACTCCATCTGGTGGTGTGTGTCAGTGGTTATATGTTTGACAAGGGCGTCTACTTCGCCGACATGGTCAGACAGACAGACAGACAGCCACACACACGCACACACACGAACCAAACACATACACAGGCTTCCACACACTCGCCGCTTTCTCTCTTTCTCTCTGCGTGTGTGTATGTGTATGTGTGTGCAGGTGACCAAGAGTTCCAACTACTGCTGGGCGAGCCAGGCTGGCGGGAAAGCCGTGCTGGTCCTGGTACATCTATCTAGAGGCACACACACGCACACCAATGAATGGCACACAGAGTGAGTGGGCTTCTCATGTCACCCACATATGGTGCAGTGTGAAGTGGCGTGTGGCGACCACTACAAGCGTCTGCAGTCCGACCCCGCGGCCGCCACGGCCTGCAAATCACGAGGTGCGTCCCACACAAACAAAATACGCCAAAGCCTGCCGGCCGTCCATCCACTCTATCATGTGTGTGACGTGTGTTGTGTGTCTGACAGGGTGTCACTCGACGTGGGGCATCGGCGGCTGCCACCCCGACCCTAACGACTACACCACACTCGATGGGGAGATACACGTCCCCTACGGCAAACAGACACCCAACACCAAGAACATCCAAGAGGTCACACACACACCCCTCCCCACCCCACACACGTCTGATGCGATCGATGTCGGCATGTGTGTGGCCCCTCTGCAGGCGTGGAACGACCCCCATGCGAGAACCTATGGCCATCAAAACATGGGCGCCGCTGCTGCTGCTGCGGCCGGCTTGCAGCCCCAATCGGACCTCCTCTACAACGAGTTCATCGTATACAACACCGTAAGCTAAGCGGTCACACACCACACACAGAGGTAGACAGACATGTGGATGTGCGTGTCTTGGTTGTGTTGTGTGTTGGTCCCTCCCCAGAATCAGATCAGGATGCGCTATGTGGTGCGGGTGGACATCGACGAGTCCCGGATTGCCTTCTGACTGACTGAATGAGACAGACAGACAGACAGACAGGTACAGACGAATCAGCCAGGGGTAGCTGTAGCCTGCCTACGACTCGGAGAGGGCTCAACATGCATAGCTACGTTGGGCTGCTGCAGATCTTCAAATTTTTCGGACCCTCTCTATCTGTCTCTGTACCTCTCTCTGAGACGTAGCTATTGCAGAAACCTGATGGCTGGCCTGCCGACAGAGAGCCTTTTTCGGCCGGGAGGGCGCGGGGTGCACATACTGCATATGCTTGTGGTAGCTTAGAATTACATCCATGTGCATGGACAGGTGGGGTGGACACAGACACTGATGGATGAATGGATGGATGAAGTGCATAAAGTAGCATCGTCACGCACAGAACACCTCATAGAAACGCATGACATCACACCACACCACCCGCTCTGTACACACACCGAACACCCGCTCTATTCACATTTCTGTCGTCATCCATCATTGTCATGATCCCATCATGTCGTCGTCGTCACCATGACGGCCGCCCCCCTCCTCGGGCCACTTCACACGGCAGCTTGGGCAACTGCGATCGGGGTACTGCTGGAAATACTCCTGAATGCACTGTGTGTGGAACCACTGGGGGCACTGCCCGTTGGGGCAGCTCTCGCCCCCTATCACGGTCTTCTGCTCGCACAGAGGGCAATCCGACACGCTGTCGTCGTCACTGAAGATCTCCTGCACACACAACACAAAGGCACACAGGTGCGTGGTTGGCATCATGTCTGCCAAATGCAGCTAGCTGGGCCTATGTGACTACCAGGTATGTGCGTGGGCCGGGCAGGAAGTGATCAAAGCGCCCGGAAGCGTCGAGGTCAGCAGGGCTGCATTCACACACGGATGAAAGGATGGATGGACACAGGATTCCGATTTTCTGTCTGTCTGTCTGTCTGTCGGACACAGCTCTTCTTCACGTCACGTACACGAGCCAGCCGTTCTTCTTCAACGTGTCCACTGCATCATACACACCACACACACACACACACACACACAGAAGAGTCGATTATGTGTGCATCGACCACACATCACACAAGTGCAGGGCCGCCCTCCCAGCACCCCACTCACGAGCGAAGTCCATGTCAGAGTAGGTGTGGCCACAGCACACGTGCTCCTTCTTCGTGTACTTCCTGGCGTCCCCTGCACCCAACACACTCTCGGCCACCTCCTCGAGCGCCTTGTCGTCCAACGCGCTGCGGTCCTTCACAAACCGGTCACATACACCTACATGACATGAATGAATCATTCAAGTGGGTGGATGGCATGCGATGGGCCGCTCCCCCCTCCCTCCCTCCCTCCCTCCCTCCCTCCCTCCCATTTCTAATGCCCTACCCTTGTAAAACTTGACATCTTCGACGGTGAGCATTCTGTTGCCTGGTTTGCCGACCTCCAGCTGCGCGTGGTCGAGTAGTGCGGCCTGCCTCATCTTCTGGCCGTCCTCCTTGCTGGTGAGCTTCAGGCCCCATATCACGTCACCCGAGTCGAGACGCACGTGCTAATGCATGGATGGATGGATGGAATAGCACACAACACACCGTACTGTACCACATGCCTCAAGGGCCATGCACCTCTCTCTCTCTCTTTCTCTCTGTGCGTGTGTGTGTGCATGAGTGCAGCGTACGTCTAGCCTGAGTCCCAGAGGGGTCAGACGGTCATTGATCTCTTTGACCACATCCGCTACTGAGTCACCCTCCACATCGAAATTCTCCTGCGACCAGAAGCTCACGGAATGTGAAATAGCGACTGGGGCGTGTGCGATGCTGACCTGCAGGTCGTTCACTAGGTCCTGGAACTCAGCATCGAGCATACACTGAAGGGAACGGACAGAGAGGACACCACCTCAAAGATCTCTTCTCCGTTTTCCGATCATGATTCCTCCCCCACTTACCTTGTCTTGCAGGGCAAGGAATCGCTGCGTGATGATGCCTGACGCCACTGCCCAACCTACACTCATCCCTTGTCCTCCCAGCTCTTTTGAGCGAGCTTATGAGCCTTGGGGGCTGCTTGGGGGCGTCTTTCTTTCTGCGCGGATGAATCCAATACGCGGCTCTTTCTGATGAATGACACGTCCAATTTCTCGTTGCCGCTGCATCGCTGGAGTTTGATCGGCTCCCCACCGCCGCCACGACAGACACAAAGCGGAACGGGAGGCTCTGAAGCAGGCGAGGAACAGCAGCACCTGGTGGATGTTGAAGGGTGGGAGGGCCAATGGGGGGACGGCCTCTTCGAGTAAGAATGCCACACCAGTGCCTGCAGAAACAGCTGCAGGATCATCGTGTGTCACACGGTGTTGAAACTGTTTGGTGTTGCCTGTACTGCATGCAGCTGCGATTTGGATGCGTTGTCGTGCCTTGTGGGGTGTCACTGCTGCTGCCCCTGGTGCCTCGCCGGCATCACCCACCACAAGGCCAGAACTCTCCACTGCTGTGCCGTTCTGGTGGTCCCCCTCTTCTCGCTTCTCGTGTCCTGTGGGTACACGTATCTGTTCTACGCGTGTGGGCAGCGTCATTTCGAGCACACGTATTCCATCCTTGCCGGGTGCCCATCGAGGATGTCTGTGGTGTGGCACAGCCAGCTGCTGGGCGAGAGGGTGTCTGGTGTCTACGAGGGGCTGATGGACTGGCCATCCGCCTGGGTATATGCTCAGAGATACAGAGCCAATCAGGTCAGTCGACTCGACGGACGGGCCCATCCGCCTCAATGAGTGAGTGCCCATGTTTCTTTCTCGGTGTGGGTGTGTGCTGCAGACGGAGAGGACATTGTTTGATGAGTCGATGAAGCGGCTGCACAAGGAATGCGCCTCCACCGAGATGGATGAATTGGCCAGCGACAGCGATCTCTCGCTGGTCATATTGTTGTACCAGGGGTTGATACTCCTGCACCTGATCATCCTGTGTCTCATCTGTGCGTGGCTGCGCGGCAAAATCCGCTATGTCTTTCGGATACCCGCCATCGATCATGCATACGATCTGGGCATCGTGTGCTGCTGTTGGCCGTGCGCGGTAAGTCAGGGAGACAATTCCTTCCCC